TTCTATTCATATATGGTATGTCTCTATGTCAATACCACACTGTTTTTATTTCTGTAGCTTTGTAGTAAGTTTGAAATTAGGGAGTGTGGGTCCTCCAGTTTTGTTGTTCTTTTTCAAGATTGTTTTGGCTTTTTACGGTCCCTTGAGATACCATATAAATTTTAGAATGGATTTTTCTATTTCTTATTGTTATGTGTCTTTAAGGCTATGGATTTTCCTTTGTTCACTGATTAAATATATCTCAAGCATTTTGATAAGCAATGCTTTTATTATCTTTTTTTCAGAAATTTTGTATTTCTGTTTGTATTTCCCTTTCATCCAAAGGTGTTTAATAGATGGTTCATAAATTTATAGGTGGAAAGGATTTTTTATTTGATTTTTTTAAATTCTAGTTTTCTTCCATTGCCATATTAGAGATTACTATTTCTACGTTATGAAATTTATTAGTGTTTTCTTTCATTGAATAAATGCTCGATTTTTGTAAATGTCCCATGTTTTCTTGAGATGAAGATACCTTCTCTATTATTAGGTGTGGTGCTAGATATTTCCCCTTATATTGGGTTGTCGGACAAGTCATGATGCATTTTTGCAACAAAAAACATAGAAAAAAATACATTATGACTTTTCCAACAACCCAATATGTTTTACCTTATTATTATGTTTAGATCTTCTATATCTTATTTTTGTCTACTTGACCTGTTCTATACTGAGAGTGTCATCCTAAAGACTCCTATTACTAATATTATTCTGCCTATTTTTCCTTGCATCTCCTGTAGTTTCTGCTTTAAGTGGGTGCTGCTGTGTAATTTGGTGTGTGTATATGTTTATAACTGTTATATCTTGTGATATCATGACTTCCATCATTTTTGCTCAAAAATACTTTGTCTGGTGTCAGGATTGCTTTTTATCATTTCCATTTGTCTGGTATATTCTTGTCTATCCCTGTATCTTTAGCCATTTTGAATTGTTTTATGTGTTTTTCTTTCATGCCGCGCATAGTTGAGTTTTGGTTAATGAACTAATTTAAAAATCTCTTTTATTTTAGTAAGCAAGTCTTATTTATTGAAATGACAGATATGTTTGGTCTCAATACTGTCATATTATTGTTTTACTGTGCATATTATAATTACTGTGTGTATTAATTTCCTAGGGTTGCAGTAACAAATAATCACTGACTTGGGTGACTTAAAACAACATAAATTTACTCTCTCACAGTTCTGGAGTCTAGAAGTCCAAAGTCAAGGTGTTGGCAGGTCCATAATCCATCTTGCCTTCTTCTAGGGAAGAATCCTTCCTTGCCTCTTCCTC